GCTATCAACGATGCTCAGGCATCTATGAAGAATGACAATGACAGTCACGACAGCCTTGGTCACAGTTCAGCACCCGCATCTTCGGCGGCTCGTCTACGCCAGGCGTTTGATGAAGCCGTTAAGGAGGGACCGAGTGGGAGAGATGGCGCAATCGCGCTCGTCACCGAGGGTATCATGACCGCCATTACCGAGATGCTATTTACTGACGTCCGGAACGTGAACCCAAATAAGAGCATCGCGGGCCACGGAGTCGACAGTCTCATTGCCGCCGAACTGCGCCATTGGTTCCATCAGGCCCTGAGAACAAATATACAAATGACTGACCTGCTGGATGGTGCGATGAGCATCAAAGATATGGCAGAAAACACTGTTGATCAAGTATTAGGACGTGCTAATGATGTTACGTCCAGCTAAAGCACAGATATCATTTCCTTGTATGAAGTTCAATCTCCTTGGGGTTAGTCTAGTCGATAGGTGTAAGCCACCACTATAGACTACACTGGCAGTAGCTACGAGCCTCGGCTTGGGAGTTCTCAGTCGCCGCGAGTCTCTTCGTCTTTTTAGGGCTTTTGTCTATGGTGGGGTTCATTTTCTATATCAAATAATGTCAGTCCTATCCTGCGAAAAGAGAGACCTTGAACGTATTGAATTTCTGGGCTTAAGAGAAAGGAGATTAAATCCCATTACACAGATATATTGCCTAGCTAAATAGAAGAGAGCAATATGTAGGCAATTGACCTATATTATGAAGGGTGGCAGTTTTTTGTGCCTGCACGCGTTTTTATAGGCGCGCGCATTTCCTCCCTCTACTTTAATCACTTGTCTCTTTGATATATAGGAATCTCTCGATATAAAGTAATCGGTATAGGCCAAGGTAATAGATATCCCCCCTTCCCCCCCCCCCAAAAAAAACCCCCTTTCACTATCTTCTGTGAGACGTGGAATATTCTCGACGATCCCCAACCCTGAACGTGCCTGTACCATCCTCGTATATATGGTGCGTTCTTGGGCGACTTCCGTCGGCTGGCGTAATTCGGGCACTGATAATGAAAGCCCTGTCATTGCGGTTGAACTCCGATCGGTGGACAGGGCTTGACCCATCGTTGCGGTACCTAGAATTGACGTGTTAAGTTAAGTACGTATTGCTGGGGAGAGACAATGATGGGTGTCTCTTACAAGATCTCAATTGACTCAATTTTCCCGACTTTCTATAGCGCGTATGACTTTTTATAAAGAGTTCCTTAGGAGCTTTTGGAGACGTGTATATTACCTTCCTGGCGCCATTTTCTGCGTAATGCTCGGCAGCTTGCTTGAATGACTCTGGGAGATCTTCTCTTGCATAGCCCAGCCATCTCACCAGGGCTTTTGCTGTAGTGTGGAATAGTCTAGCCATAGTTGCGAAGTACTGTTAAGGGCAAGGTGGTTGAAAATATTGTTCCGGATGGTGTCTTGAGACGATAGATAGATGGGCTCCAAGTTTCGAGGTTTGACGGGGAAACTGGTCATATTTATACGAACGAACAGAGAGTATCAACATTCTTCACTCGCCCGCGTGTGAGTCTTGACATCGGCATGTCTACAGCCGGGTGGTCTGAAACCAGGCTCGTTGGCGTGTCTTTCATACACCCAACATAGCTTAACAGTTTACCAGCAACCGGTCGATGTCGACGTCGTTGGCACGAACATGCATGGCCCGACTTGCCCCACGAGCGAGGTATATCCGCGACGCCTCTCGAGGCACCCCTAGCAAGCGCACACAGTCTCGTCGTGCAACTGTCAGGATACCAATCAGTTTGCCAAGCCTTGGGAATTTGCCATCATAACTGGCGGCGGCGGAGACTGGTGAACCAACATGCAGCTTCACCGTTATGCGAATCGCGATAACGAAGTGAGCATTGCGCGATTTTGGCCTTGGGTCAGCCAATTATTGTTCCTGGGTGGCGCCATCTGTTGGTTTCAACGAAGGCGTAGTCGATTTGAGAATTTTAGAGCGTTGCAGCCTAAGGTTAGGGCGGCGGTTGCGCGGCGCGGCTGAGCTCTCAGCGCCAAATGAAGTGGGCTTCATGGCTGTTTTAGATTCAAAAATGACGAGTGGGATACGCGGTTGAAATGATAAGTACTTAAGTACCTATCTAGGTACAGACCTACTTTGTATGAATGAAGTTCAAGGACTTGGAGTTCAAAATCGGATTGTCCAGGTCAATTGAGAGTTAAAATGAGACGTATCCGTATTTGAGGTCTTGTAATGGGGTGTATTGCCCACACCCAAAAGTGGGATGTAGAATGAAGGAATCTAGAGACCTGACCTTAGCCGTGAGGGGTCCTTATAATACACTGTAACTCGTACCTCAGGGCTGCCTCGCCTGCCAGGCAAGCAGGTAACAGTCTCGGGTCCATATTAAGTATACAGTATAACTGCCTAGTGGCCAGCTACTCCACCTGGTCCCAGCTGCTCATCTTATCGAGGTCCATTTCTCAAAGCTGTCCAGCCACAGACGACCGCCGGAGCAGGAGGTGTTATGCTCGAGCTGGTACCTACGGTGGTACCTACCTAGGTAAGGTAGGTTAAAATCTACACATCGCGCTTTCGCCTTGCCAGAAGACGTCCTCACATCTCCAACTTGATTTCACCCCCCATTTTTCATCTACAGCCAGTAAATATGACCTCGCTTCTTCGACGACTATCTTGGCTTGGCCAAGCATGGAAACCTCTCAACTTTTCCAACTCCAACTTCAAGAGAATCCAGCTGGAAGAAAAGATAGAAGAGGAACTCTATCCAGACTTTGTTGCGTCGCGCTATTACCCTGTTCGCATCGGCGAGATTCTCAGAGATCGGTATCAAATCGTTGGCAAGCTAGGATTTGGAACGACTTCAACTGTTTGGCTGGCGCGCGACCTAGGGTAGGATATCCTGTCCCGCTTGAAATATGAGAATGCTAATACGCGTTAAAGGGGCCGTCGGCACGTCGCCCTGAAGCTTTTTGTGAACTCAGAGTCCATGGGAAAGCAGCTGGATCACGAGCTTGCCATATACAAGCGCATTTCAACTTCTGCCACTAACCATCGCGGCCGTGGCGCTGTCAGGGAGCTTCTTGACTCTTTTGACATTACTGGCCCAGACGGACAGCACCGGTGTTTGGTGCACCCCCCATTATGGGAGAGCGTCTTGACTTTTCTTCATCGCAATCCAGTGAGAAGACTACCCGCGCCAGTGCTTGCCTTCGTCCTTCATCGTCTCTTCCTTGCGCTCGATTTCCTTCATACAGAATGTCAGATCATTCATACAGGTGCGTAATTGGGTGCCGAGCTTGCATCAATCACAGAGATTCGCGCGCTAAGAAGATGCGATACATTAGATATCAAGGCCGATAACATTATGTTTGGCATTGACGATGATTCCGTTTTTACAGCATTCGAAGAGCAAGAGCTTTTTGACCCGTCTCCAAGAAAAGAGATAGGCAATAATAGAGTCATCTATCTGTCACGGGAGCTTAGAATGCCAAAGAAATGGGGCGCACCCGTTCTCTGTGATTTTGGCTCCGCCGTTGCGGGGGACGAAGAACAGTTTGAAGATGTGCAGCCAGATGTGTACCGGGCACCGGAAGTTATTCTAGAGGCGCCGTGGTCGTATCCGATCGACGTGTGGAACGCTGGTTGCATGGTAATCAAAGATTTCAGGCGGAGTTGAGGTCTTGAGGAATCAAAGCTGACTCGCCTCGGCACAATCTTTTAGGTATGGGACCTTTTTGAAGGCAGCCACTTGTTTACGGGACACGATCCAGAATATCAGGCGTATCGCAGTCGAGCACATCTCGCAGAAATCGCGGGATTGCTTGGAAAACCTCCACAAGAGCTCCTCGACTTGGGCAGGTCAAGTCACAAATTTTTTAACAACACAGGTAAGCCCAATGTTTTATTCTATTCCAGTTTCCTTTCTGTCATATGCTAATAAAGCACCGCACAATCACAGGAGACTTCCGTCCAGATATTCCACTTCCAGCTAGCGTACCGCTCGAACAGAGAGAAACTAATCTAGAGGGCGAAGATCAAGAACTGTTTCTGGCCATGATGCGCAGAATACTGCAATGGCAACCCGCGGACCGCTCCACGGCCAAGACAATCGCTGATGATAAGTGGATTCGGAGACACATGTAAAGAGTGTCAAGAATGGTACATGGATATCTCGTTAATTATTTTGAGGTCTAGGTCTCCAAGCTATTCGTAGGAGGTAAGTAAGAAGGCGATAAAGCCTACAGAGCCGCAGCACACGCTTTCGAACCGAGTTCTTGATATTGCGAAAATACGCCTCGCCGCGGGCGGCAGCTTGAAATTCCTTTTGCAAGTTGTCCGATCTCCCGTACGCTACGCCGCAGGTTTTCCTCGGAGCTCGATCGCAACCTGACTTCGGCTTCGAGATGGCACTCAAGGACGTGCAACCGTGCAACTGCTCGGAGAGGTAGTCATTTTAGACCTGAAGGTCGCCGATCCGCGAGATAAACCTCAAGGATTTGAGGTGGACTGGGTTCTGTTGGGTGGTCAGAAAACCCATACGGACGGTTTTACCTACCGTTTCCATTGTATATATTGTATATATTGTACATAAAGAGGTAGTCACGTCACCGTGCTTAGTCTAGAACCTGATGAATGCCTGAACCGAGTGTGAGATGGAGCGGCAGTAGCGCTAACCCGATGTGTCGAAGCCTTGGCATTTGGTAAATCCTGGAACCCAGATCCTCACTTCCCTCATACCCGGCCCGCAGTGTGAATGACTTCTCGCCTTGGAGAGCGGCCGCGTAATTTTCACATCGCATGCCCGGGCCCGCTGCTCGCCTGGCACGCTGAGCCAGGGGGCCAGGGGGCCAGGGTGCCAGGCCAAGTACCGCCAGCTTTGCGCTACAGTAGCGATTGGCAAAGTTGCGATAAAGATATATAAGATAGATTTTGCGAAATGCCAAGAGCGGTACAGCATATTGGGCTTAGCGCATTCCCCGCTAATCAAGGGCATGGTGTAATGGTTCACATACTCGGTCAACCTCTTACTATCGGAATCCCGAGTAGGCCGGTTCGAGTCCGGCCATGTCCAGCCCTTTTTTCGTTAGATTTCCTTTTTAGGTTGCTTTTATAGTCCAGGTACTAAAAATCAGTTATTAGGAGATCTTATCTTGACTGCACTTATTTTTTTTCTTTTTTCCTTTCTCTCTCTAAATCTTAGGAGATACTTATAGGTACCCGATTTATTTCTAGTAGTAACACCATGAATGATCCGAGTTGCTTGCAGCATTATCGATTGTCTTGCTGGATTTGACGAGACACCCCATTTGCTCCATCACCATGGAATTCGCTATTATATCCTAGGGCCGTCTAGGTGACCAATCCCCCGAGCCCAAATCTTGATCTGTCAAGATCTGCAATAATAAGTCCATCCCAGTGACGATGCGCCTGGTGGACACTGCTACAGGGTAGGTAGGTAGGTGCCTCGGGTGCCAAAAGGTTGCAAGCCAGTTCACCTCGACTGCACACAGCAGCCGAAACTTCTTCTGAATTGGTTTTGCTCATATGAATCTGAGGATCTTGATAGCATTTCTTAACCTATGAAATTAGAGCTTCGCCGCGGGGTTCTGGAAAGCAGTACACTCGATTTCCATCCTCGCTCCGAAGGGCAGCTGGTGAACTGCAACACATGTCCGGCACTAATGACAATTCGTCAGTCCGCCCACTCTGCCTTCCTGGTCGTCTAAGTCTGGAATTTCACAGCGCAACATCATTGTAATAGCGCAGATATCAATTGGGAGGGAGCAAAAGATGGAGAAGGTGAAGTGAAAGTGGATGAACCCACGGGCTTAGGACTGATGCTCCCAAAGAACTCATCGTACACCTCATTCATGGGCGCAAAGTCGTCCATCGTAGTCAGAAACACATTGACTTTGACAATGTTGCCCAGTCCACTGCCCGCTGCCTCGAGGACGGCAGAGAGGTTCTTGATGGCGCGGCGCTGTTATGCTATTAGTCTCATTACGCCCCCCCTCCCCCGGTTTCTACCTCTACCGTCAGGTACCTAGGTACGGAGGATGAAAATGTGAACACGTGTAATTATAAATCTTACAGTCTCGGGCTGCACCCCTCCCTTTACCAATCCTTTGGTCGCGGGATCGACGCCGATGCTCCCGGAGCAGTACACCATGCCGTTATACTTGACGGCCTGCGAGAATTGCGGCAGAGGCGCTGGCGAGTTCTGGGTCGAGACCTCTTCTTTGGCTGGAGACATGGTGATGCGTTCGTTGATAATAAAATGTGCCAGGCTGGACTTGAGAAGTCAGTGTATTAACGCCGTACCGTCTCAAAGGGGTCAAAAGTATCTTTAAATGCTGATATTGCGTGGTTCAAGTATCTAGTGGTTGGCGAAGTTGATCATGATCTCCGCGTTGCAGCACTAAAATCGTTACCTACCTTGGTAGTGGGGATGGACGCCGGCCCGCTCCGCCCAGCCGGCTCTAGAACCTTTGACATGAGAATGAATGGGTATATGGAAAATGATATGTAATACCTAGTATTGGTTTTAAGCCGGATGTCTACTAACTCTCAGGATGGATACTTTGAAATTATATCTCTCGTATTTATTGACTTGTTTTGCGGCTTTGCCAAGGTGCAACTTTTTCAGAGTGTGCGCGTGAGCAATACTCTTGATTACGGTTCAATCCAGATTACGAAGCTGGCAAGATAAACATGGAAATGTTGGTAGTTACCATCGTCCCGACATCAATCTGTATGTAGTACCAAATATCGAATTATCCATATTCAAAAAAACACATTAAAATCCATCGATGACATGAAGGTAATGTGAGGAACTCTACTAAGCCCGACACTGATGTTGGGAGGAAATACCCTGCACCGCATAAGCGCGAATCATATCGGGCTCTACTTGAACGCCGGCGTGGTCCGACACAACTACCTATGCACACCTGCACATAGCACGTAGATATTTGAATGCTCAGGATCACTTGGTTGGAATTATTGATTCAATCCCGAGATTGGCATGCATGGGCGTGAGGCTCGATGCCTGAGATCCTTTACCGAACCGATTCTATTCGTTTTACAAGTTCCCGTCTTTCCATTGGGATGGCCCAATCTAACCCGGCCCTGGACCTCGGGGTCTTTTTGAGAAGATTCTATAATATAAGATCAGGAAATCGAAATGACCTTGTATTGAAGTTTAGTCCTGGTTGATAACCAGTCATTGCTCTAGATGGCACGGGTAGAAAGAAGATACTACTAATGCGTGTTACGCATACTAAAGGATAGTTATTTGCTTAGATAAAGAAAGCATTGAAATAAATATGCCTCGATTGTGATTAGGTTAGATACAACTATCACAATGACAAAAGGATCGAAAAAAGATTTTGGCCGTCGAAGGAATCGAACCCCCGGGGCCCAACGACGCTAAGTAAGGATATTTTACGCTGGGTAAATATGATGGCTCGCTCCGCTAGGCCAAACCAGTCCGGCCTTTGGCAGTGTTTTCTTTAATGGCCTGTAGGGTAACTGCATATATAAGGTGTGTGCTGGTAGGGCTGTATATGCAGGTCCGAAGTCTAATTCTAGAGACTGGGAGACTGTACGAGCATGACATGCATGGATCAGTCATGAGGGAACGCAAGTCCTGAGCCTATACCTGCTACGACGCGTGTATTACGTCGTCAAGAGAGCGTAACGGGCAGCCACGATCAGCACTTCCGTGATTTATATAAGATATGGCATTAGATTTGTCTTTGACGTATTATCAAGAGCTTGGTAGCCCGTTCTTCTTTTCTTCTCGCTTTTCCCCTTCAAGCAATGATATATCCACGACTCGAGGTCTATTGAGCCGAGGGAAGTCTCATATGTCGTTTCATACGAACTCACTGCCGCCCGAAAGATTGAGGCAGAAAACCAGTAGTATTGAATCACTGAGTCATTCTTTCGGCTGATGTCAGCCGCTCTCATCTTGAGAACTCTTTGAGAAGATTGATTATGCCCCATGTGCCTTTCTGTAGTGATAGCATAGCATACGCCTTACTCCTCCCATGCTCTTCTGGCGTAATGGCCTCATATATAATAAATAAAAGGCGAGGCTCTACCCAGAACGGACGCACAACGCGATGACGTAATCGTGAATGAGATGTCGTGAGCACTTTATGAAATGCATTGTTGAACGCCGTCCATGTTGTACAAGTGTGGTGATTCCTTATGTATCGATCGGATGAGGTAGCTCTCCTAATCTTGGTTGACGGTTTGCTGCGTATTTATGTCAGTCATCGAGTTTCTAGAGTGCCTTTGACAATATAGAATCAACTCACCACCAGCCAGTCCATTCCCTCGTTGACACCGCTGCCGTCGACGGCCGAGCACGCGACAATGCTCCAGTTCCGGTCGCGTAGCTCGCCCAGCCTCAGGGCCTCGGATATTTCACCTGCGCCCTTGGCGCCGGGTTGATCTTGTTTATTGGCAAAGACTAGTAGCGCGGCATCCTTCAGCTCCTCCTCATTGAGCATGGCAGCTAACTCATCGGCCGCGGTCTGGAGACGCTCGATATCCGTACTATCGACGACGAAGATGACAGCGGCGGTGTTGGCGTAGTAGCACCTCCAGTACGGCCGGATGGAAGTCTGCCCACCAAGATCCCAGACGTCGAAGTTGAGATTCTTGTAGCTGACGGATTCGACGTTGAAACCTATCGTGGGGATTGTCGTGACGACCTCGCCTATCTGCTCTCGTCAAAGTCAGCCGTCTGCTTCTGTCTGCCGCGGAAGGTACCGGCTGCTATGCAGCGTCAATGCGACTTTTGACCTATGTCGCATAATGAGGGGCGCGTAAAATCACCAACCTTTAGTCTGTACAGTAATGTTGTCTTGCCGGCGTTATCCTGTATCGCAAATCCAGCGCGTTAGCGGGCTGAAACTAACGAGGTGTCGGGTAAAGCTTCGCTGGATTGCAATCATACCAGACCCAAGATGAGGATTCTAATTTCTTTCTTGGCCCAGAGCATGCCAGACAGCCATGACACGCTTTGACCCATGGTCGTTTGACGTTGGGACTCGAGCGGGTGGACGGGTTTGCGGCGTAAGGAATGAGGTAGGTGTGTTCGGCAGGGCGGCGCCACCCGAGACAGCGGCAGTCAGCTCGTGTAAATATGCTGCAGCTTCGTGACGGGCTGAAGTAGAGTCGCCGTGAGAAAGGGGTAATGATGCGGTCGTCGATGCGAGTTTGCGCCCCAATGTACCGTGCTTCAGTGAGTAAGGACCGTATGCGTGTAAGTGTTTGTTGTGGTGTTTTGATGTCGTGTCGTGGGGGAAGTGGTCGAGGCTGGAAATGCAAGCTGGCTCTGTAGGTTGACGGCTTGTCCCGTTCAATGATTGTTGATTGTTGATTCTTTCAACAATGAGGCCGCCAGCTTCAGGGATGATCAGTAATTACGTTAGGTTGGCAGTTAGCAGGATTGGCTGTTCGGCACTGGGGAGCGGACAAGGGACAGAATGCGCCGATGACTTGGCACCCGTTGCTTAATTGGCTTCTGCTGCAGCGTCAACCCCAGAAAGGATAGGCTCGCTCGCCTTGCTCTGAGTCCTTGATTTGATTGCTTATGTAATTGCAATCTCTCACGTCACACGTCACAGCAGGCGCACAGGGGGCAGCCGCAGGTGGGTGTCCACTGTCCAGGATCCAGATGCCAGGGAGCCTGGAGGGCCAGTGTGATAACGATAAGGAACTCTCGTCTTATCTTATCGACCACCTCGCGCACTTGCGGTCATGTGACCCCTCTGAGCATCTTGACCCACTTTAACCCGACACCCGACAGCTGCAAATCAACCGAAGATTTGCCCACACTTTCGCAACTGGGGCTGCAAAACCCTCGCGCCGCCAAAATTTCCTAGCTCGCATACCGAGTGACCTGACCGGCTTACTCCACCCACCTTCCCTCCTCTTCCTCTACCAAGAAGACATCACCAACTCCTCGACATTTCGATTCGCAACAGCAGTCAAGATGCCGGTATGTACTCCATGCCTCTGTTCCTTTCCGAAATGAATGCAACAATGCTCTCTCGCAAT